CGAAGTACACTGCTGAGGGGAGCAGTGGGCGGGTCAGGAGAGGTCTGCCACACCATGTGGTCACCTCCAGGGCAGGCGGGAATCGAACTCATGTGGAAGTAGCTTTTGCTTCTCAGTGCTGTGCTTTAACCCACTGCGCCACTAGGGAGGGCCTTAAGTTAGTTTTTAAAATGTTTAATCATCTATGAGAATAATATTGAAAAATAACAATTTTCTACTTTAGCTGATTTGGGGTAACCAAATATAAAGAATTAGTACAGATGAAGGAAAAGTAGGAGAGAAATACTGTTGAAGAAAATAACAAGGGAGAATCCAGGCCAGAAGAGGGGGCTCATGAACAATTGCCTCAGACCCACCACCACTTGCCCTGGATCTCTGTGGAGAATTCTGGAATGAAAAGAAAATGCTTCATGGGACATTTTTGGAACAACAATGTCAAAAACAGAATGTGGACCGATAAGGATTAAATCATAGTACTGTATCTATATAGAATTTTTCTAATGTTGATTGTTATACTGTGGTTATGTAAGAGAATGGTCTTAGCAATTAAAGTGTTAAACATAGGGGCATGCTGTTGTGACTTACTCTCTACTGGCTCAGAAATAAATGTGGTCAAGTGTGTGTATGCACGAGTGCCTGTGAGTATGTGTATGTGAATTTGTTTAAAATGCAGTATCTCTGAAAAATGATTAAGTCAGGATGGGGTTTAGGATTCCATATCTTCAAACAAATCCTGGTTATTCTCATGTACATGCTCTGTTTACCATCCTTTGACCAACACTGCCTGTACCTTATCAGCATCATATGTATAGAAGACACTAACTATACATTTCTTGGACTAATTTGAATTGCTCAAGCCTCCATGAAGCTAAGCAAAGATTCCATTTGCTCAAGCCTGAGCATGAAAATAGGGCTAAAGTCCACTCCTCATGTAATAAGGTAACATGTCCGCCAGTCCTGGTTTTAGCTCTGAAGCAGTTTCCTAGGGCTCAGTCTCCTAATTATAAGGTATGTATGTGGGCATCGGTTTGTATGAGGTGTCAATTCGATGACACTTTGGCTCTTTCCAGCACTAAATCTAGATGGAGCACTCAGCATAAATCCCCTAAGTGACTGCATAATTTTAAGCTACTCAAATAGCTTTCAGTCCTGCAAAGTTAACAATTTGTGTTCTCCCTTGAGTGGAACAAGGGGAGGCAGGTGAGCCCTAACCATGTGATGGGTGGTTAGAATAGCTTTCCTAGCACAGATGAAGTCATCCCTGTTCATACCACTTGTTACCTTTGTGACATGAAGTGTAAGTATAAGCTAGTGTAGTTTATGGTGAGTAACATAGTTATTAACCAACTAACAATGTCTATCCAATATGCTCAAAAAGCAAGATTCAAAGTCTCGGTGGCATCTTAGTCTGTACAACTGACCCTCACAACCCATGAGTTACTAGAAAACCTCATATATGCAGTATTTTATACCAGTGCTAAATATATTAGTTGATCAAAACTAGAAAGAAAAAGAGATTGAATACGTGAAGATATAAATATCTAGCCAAAAATGCATATAAAAGCTACAAGTTATTACAGCATTACAATTTATGTTGTTTTATATCTGGGAACTTGCATCTATACCTAACTATAACAACAGCTTCATAGTATAAACTCACAGGGGACAGAGTGTCAGAATGAGGACCCAAAACCAATGTGAATGTGCAGCTCGAAAGATATGCCAGACTAGGGCCTCTAAAGCACTAGGTACATGCCCCTACTCCTTTCTGCCAATAAAACAAAGAACTAAGTAGCTACTTAGTCATTTTAACTTACAGTTTGTATTTATTTCTACATTTTGGATTCAGTGCAGTCAAGTACTGAAAAAAGAGCTCTAAAAATAACAACAACAACAAAATACCAAATAAGCAGATTATCATTTACTACAGGAGCTGGCAGTGAGAATTCATTATTTTAGCACTAACTGTAAAAGAAAACATTCTCACACAAGAATAGATATTCTTATACAGAGAACAAAACGGATACTTGGTTATATACTACAGAGCCTTATCTATATTTAAGAATTCAGAAATGAAAGTATGAAGTGTAATGAGTTTAGATATAGTTCAGAAATATTTACTTGCATTAAAAACATGAAAATATTTTGCACACATTTAGCAGGGAGGTAACAAGGGTCTATTATCAAGATATATGGGTTAATAATTTCATGGGGTTATTTCAGAATGATCTGCTGTGATTGAAACCATGTGTGGAGAGTTTGGGCTTCTGCAGGATGTGTCGCAGCAACAAAGGCCCTAAAGATGTATTTGTGCTGCCTGCTATGTATACAGATGATTGACTTAGATACACTTCCCAGACATAAACAGTAAAGGAATGTCACTGAAGTTCTGTGTGCTATCAGATAGAGATGGCGAATGCTTACCACATTGTACAAGCCGATGCACCAACGTTCAAATAAAATCTGCCCAGAAAATCCATTAACAAAGGCGAACCAAAGCTGAAAGAGAAGAAAGTTCATGACGTTTTATATCAATATTGACCTAAATGTTTCTACTCACTGCAGAAGTGGTCGGGAATGTGCACCACCAGCTGGACACAGCTGTTAAAGGATAAAGTGATACAGGACCAAAGTAGTTATTCTTTCATAAAATATAAATTTTCTGTATCAAAAATACCAATATTTCAAAGAAAATTTATATTGAAGGCATACTTCAATTCTAAGACGTAATACATATATATTTAGAGAAGCAATTATGTTTAATTTATATCCAACATGTTTTATGTCAATAAGTTTTCACCAAGAGCCTCAACATCATGTTCCTTTTCCCTATAAAGTTGAGTGGATAAATATGATTTATCTTTGTAGGACTTTCAGATAGATAAAAATCATGAATAAAAAACAAAAACTCCTTTGTTGGTCATGATGATTGTTCTTAGTTCACAAATGCTGACCCTATTAATCAAACATTCACCAACCCTGCAAGTTCAAAATACAATAAAAGAAATATGCTTAAATCAGTCTGTGGATATGAGCTATGTAAACAAATAAAATAATGTGCACTGCCACACGTATCTTCATGTAGTTTCTAATTCTTATTGATTAGGCAAGACAGATATAAAAACATGAATGGGGCAAAGTGCCAGGATGTAATTAGTACGTGTGACAGGGGAGTAAAGTTACTTTGGAGATGGAATGGTCACCAGGGTATAGTGAGACCTGGAGGCAGTCAGAGTGTGGCATTAGAGGTGGTAGCCCTCAAGAGGATGGATGGAAAACCAACTTCGATGGGAATGAATATAGATCTTTTCAACTTCATATATTCAAATGACTTAAGTATTTAAGTATTACAAACCAAGCCATTGAAAAAGGTTATTTTTTGTATGTAAAACTGACTATAAGACATTAAACTCAGAAATCAGAAAAAAAGAGGAACAAACTTGAACTATTTTATTTCTATAGAGAAAATATTAATGAAGTTGGAAGAAAACTGATGAAAACAAAAAATGTTTGTAATATCTATGTAAGTTGACAGTAAAGCAAAGGCTTAATTTCCTTAATATAGAAAAAGTTTTTAAAAATGAGAAAGAAAATGCCCAACCAGCTATTAAGAAAATGGGCAAAAAATAGAATATATATAATCTCAGGAGGAAAGCAGCTTATTTATAAATATAGGAAAACTCATTTTTTTATGTTACAAACACATCACACACATGGCGGTAGAAAGTCTTATAGATTGTCAAGGACTTAAAAATGCTTCATAACCAGGGGAAATAGCTACTTTCATACCTGATTGGTCACACAGTATTGCCTGCAAATACATTTAATGTACTTTTCCTCTTGATCAGCAGTTGTATTTTTAGGGCTATACACTAAATTTATATGTATAGTTTTATGAAGTTTTCAAAAAGATGTTTTAAAATTTATTTTTGCATAGAAGAACTGGAGTATAGGCAGAGGTGAGAGAGAGGGAGCCCTGAGAAGATTCACCAGAGACAGAGTGGGGAGCAGAACAGGCAGATCAACTGAAATACACTGCTGAGGGGAGCAGTGGGCGGGTCAGGAGAGTTTTGCTGTGCCATATGTAGGGTAGCTCTCTGGCTAGGGGTAGAACTCAGGCTGTCTGAGGTGGGCGTCGGAACTTAACTCCAGGCCAGCAGGGAGGCCCCACTAGTTTATATCTTATAACTATAAATACAGAATATTCAAATTTAAAGTAAAAGGATGTTTACCACGATGTCATTGGGAAAGAAAAAAATTAAAACCTTCAATCAAGTACACTATTGCTGTTTAAATGGAATATGATTCATCCATAAAAATGCAGACATTGAAAAGAATAATATATATCTGCATGTATTCTAATAAGTGATCTCACAGATATCTTATTAAATAATATGAAGACATATGTTACATGTCATGATTGGGTAGAACAGATTTCTTGTGATCATGGTATCTCCCCTGCCAGGTAAACATAGAACAGATTTCTATGATAATATATGTGTAAAAATGTTTAAGACTTGTAAGAAATCGTTAACATTATCTTTAGCAGAAGTATTTTCAAGAGGACAGGATGGAGATTCATACCTCTTACATGCTTTTAAACTCTTTAATCATGTTTAGATTTACTTCTATAAAAGTTTCAAGCAGCAGTTTTCAACTAAAGTTGATTTTGTCTCCGAGGAGACACATGACAATGCTGGGAGACATTTTTAAGGGTGATACTGGCATTTAGTAGGTACAGGCCAAATATTCTGTAAACATCCCAATGCCTGGCCAATTCCCTACAACAAAGAATAATCAGATATAAAATGTCCAAGTGTCACTGTTTAGAAACTCTTAATGAAAGAAAGAACTTTTACGAGGTCAATATGATAAAACTTAGAAAGCTAGTTGTAATAGATGTCTGTTAAAAGTGACAAGGACAAAAAAAAAGTGACAAGGACAGGCTGTAAGTATGGCTAGAAGATGGCACAGTTATGTGTGTGTGTAGACTATGGGCTTAGAAATGTTTGCTACTTTTGTGAGCTCCCTTCAGTCTAAACTCACCTATAGAACTACAGGCCCTATTCTTCAGAGGTCACAGTAGCATTGGATGTGAATCAATCAAAAACTTCACAAATTTAGAGCCCTAAAACAGACCTCTATCTTTATAAATTACTAATAAGAAATTACTTTGACAACTGATTGAATTTTGTATAATGAAAACACCTAAGTTGCTGAAGGCATACAATAGAGGAAAAAACAGTCCTGTGAAATCAAGCATCTCTTTTCAAACATTACCCTCTGCTCCAGGCAATCCGAGCTTCACTTCAGATTAGCATCTTCGACGGGCTGAGTGTTGGGATACGCCCTTCAAGCAGCCAGTGCTCTGATTCTGTCCAAGTTGGCACTGACTTGGGCACATGTTTCTTTAAAGATTTTGATAAGTTGGTGCTATTTTTTATCAGTTGCAGGTGCTGCGTTTTTTATGTGTTCTGATAATTTTAAAATGTATAAACAAGTTCTCTTACAACATTTCTAGTTCAGTTTCAAGCTTCATTCAAATAATCTGTCATTATAATCAGAGCTGTTTATTTCATAAAAGCAATCTATTTGGTAGAGAAAAACTAAAACCAAAATAAAATTAATTAAAAAAACCTAATGTTTAATTTCAAAATCCATCAGGTGGTTTTTTTCTTACATTGCCAACATTCAAACTTGATTTCATTTTGGCAAGATTTCCATAGGTGAAATGGAAAAAGTATGAGAACACACTATATTTTAAAATATTTATACAAAAATACTTAGTTTTTATTTTATTTATTCATAAGACAGGTACATGATGGCTCCATGACACACTATAAAATCTGACTTTCACACTAGTCAGTCATATACAAATGTTAATTCATATACAAAAAGAAAGCACTGCCCAATTCTTAAATATTAATCTATTTTTGCTGGACCACAAGTTACTGCATACAGCAAACACACAACCCTCAATGCAAACAGACAGCCAGTTCCCACTCCGAAGTACAGTCACTTGGACGGCAACTTGCTTATGCCCACTAAATTTTACTCTTCTCAATTAATGGGGGGAGAGATTCCTCTGCCCTTACTTTCCTGTTAACTAGGAATGCTATTAACTGAACACAGTTAAATGGGGGAGAGCCAGGTTCTGCCTGGATGGCCTCAGACTTGGTGAGTTGGGGAAAGACCTGCCAAGCAGGAGTGCCTTGCCAAGCTCCTGGGGTTTTTGGTCCTCAAATGTAGTGCTGTTATGAGCAAACTGACTCAAACTTATTAAATGGTTTTTCCTTCTTGGAAAAAAAAGCCTTCTTTGCTTTAACTGCTGCCTCACTGCCAAAAATGCAATAACTGTCTTGGCTAATTGCACAGACTCCAGGCTAGGGGTCCTGGCTGCCATTGTCCAAGCTCAGGGAGCTGTGCCTGCTGCCACACTTGGGTCCCAACTAACCATCCAAATATGCAACAAGATAACTACTTCACTTGGCAAAGGGGTAACTTATCCTTCTTTTACTCTGTTCTTCTAAGACCCATGATAGAAGTGGAAAAACAAGTACAAAGAATAATTAAATAAATTAGCCATATTGTTTCTTACTAAAGAGGCAATGACATCATGATTTACTGATTGTATATCAGGTCTGAGCTGATTAACTGACTCTAAAGATCTGTCTACAGGTCAACATGGTATCATCTCATTGGAATTTGATCTGACAATATAACCATATATGGCAATATTAGGCTTTTAGAAAGCATTCTTCACTCTAAAATTTTATAACTAGAAATTCATTTCTCGTAAGTATCTGCATATAAAGACATTATCTTGTTTTATAGTATTAGGAAAAATAGCATGAGAAAAGAACCTAGGCGGTAAATATAGCAAGTCTATACAATTTTAAGCACTAATAAAATGTTAAATTTACTTACATGTAAATGAAAGAATGCATTTATATGCAGTACATGATGGCAAAAGGTAAGGTAAGGTAAGGTGATAGATGGGCAGGTAGGTAGACATGAAGTCAAAGGGGAATAAAACAAGGATGCTATTATAAAGCAAAGGTTATTAGAAATAAGAATAGGGGTGGTAATATCAAAACCAGTTGCAGTAGTAGCAATAATGGCAAGATACCTTAGAAAATTTCCCCTCAACTAAGTTTGGTCCATGAACTATGGGATTGAGTGGCGAGGATTAACTGTAGACTACTATAACAAACAGTAAAAGCTTTAAAATCTTTGTAGAATTTTTTTTTCCTTCTGGGTCAGTCCTGGATAGGATACACTGATAACAGCAAAAACTACATATTCATAAAACTTCTAAGGACTTTACAAGACTAAAAAATAAATAAATAGATAAATAAATATAGCAAGTTATAGCACAATATATACAGGATTGATTTGTCATAAAACCACATCAGTAATGCTACTTTTACAAGGGGTCACATGAGTGGAAAGGAAGGTATGGAAGGCTAGCTAAACTAGTCCTACTGATTACCTACGCA